GAAGGTTGAGTGGGGGGGGGTAGAATAGGGGAGAACAGGATGAGAAATACCATAAAAGAGGGAGTCATAGTTTAGAAGACAGATCTGGCACCAGTGAGACCTCTAGTGGTCTAAAGGGATGACACCAAATGGCAAGCTAAGCAATAGTGGAGAGACCACCTTAATTGCCCATTCCTGATAATGAAATTGAAGTCTATAACCATCCTGGAGCCTTCATCCAGTGACTGATGGAAGCAGAGGCAAACACCCACAGTTAAACACTGAACTGAACCCATGGAACCCATGACAGAAAGAGGAGCGATGAGCAAATTGGCAAAGAATGGGCTGGCAAAACCAGCTGATCTGAACAAGGGGGAGCTCTTGGACCCCAGACCAACAGCTGGGAGGCCAGCATGGGGCTGATTCAGACCCCCTGAGTGTGAGAGTCAGTGAGGAGGCCTGGGTAACCCTTGGGACCCTGGGCAGTAGACCAGTGTTTATCCCTGACATACAAACAGACTTTGTGTGTCTATAACACAAAGAGGGATGCTCTCTTAGCCTGTACTCTTAGGGGAGTGCCTGGACCCTGCCCTGAGTGAAATGACAGACTCTAGATATCCCCTATGTGGAAGGAAGTTGGGATAGGGTGGGAGGCTGGGGGGTATGGTGGGGGTGTGGGAGGAGGGGAGGGAGAGGGAACTGGGATTGACATGTGAAGCAAGCTATTTAAAATTAAAGTAATAAAAAATAAAAATATGTTCACAAATAAATAGTTACATGGAAATACAGAAAACTTCACTATGAAAACCGTGTTCTACTTTCATATCAGCCAGTGATTTTGTGCAAAAAATGGTAGCAGTCTCCAAGTTGAGCTTCAAGGACCATCACAAAACTACTCTTTAATAAAAATAGAGAAAAATGGTAGGGGTAGTAGCAATGTTGAGACATGATCGCAAAACCGATTTTCCTAGAGAGAAAAACACAGTGAAAGATAGTGAGTATAAGACTTGCCAGGATGGCAAGAGAGTCTCTTAATAATGTTATAGCAGATTACAGGGACTCCCTCAGTATCCACAGCAGAGTGCTTCTAGAATCCCCTTGGACCAAAGCCTTTGGGAACTTAATTTACTTGCACAAAACACCATAGAATTTCCATATAATGTATGTGATTTTCCCAAAATAATTCCACCTGCCTTGGGTTGCTTAAAATACTGAATACAAGGGGTGAGAGACATTGCTAAGCTGTTAAGAGCATGTGCTACCCTTGAAGAAAACTTGAGTTCAATTCCCAGAACCTAAATATTGGCCTATACACATTTGAAACTCCAGTTACTAGGGATCCCATGCTCCTTCTGACCTCTGCAGGTACCAAGCAAGCATATGGTGCACAGACACACTTGCACGCAAAAACAGCTATGCACATAAAGTAATAAATTTTTTGTTTAAAAGGCTTAAAATACTGAATACTATGAACAGACCATGAAACTCATTAAACTTCATTGCTTTGGGGAATGTTGGCAAGAAAGAGTTTGTTTAGTACAGGAACATATTTTAGAAAAGCTTTCCCCATCCAGGGTTCCTTTAACATACAAAGGTGGAGCAGAGACTAGTCAGAGGCAACTGAATTACAACTCTGAGATACCATCTTACACCTGTCAGAATGACTAAAATCAAAAACACCAATGACAGTTTATGCTGGAGAGGATGTGGAGAAAGGGGAACACTCCTCCACTGCTGGTGGGAGTGTAAACATGTGTTGCAGTGGAAAATAGGAATCAGTCTACCTCAAGATCCAGCAATTCCACTCTTGGGCATATATCCAAAGGATGCACATTCATACCACAAGGACATCTGTTCAACTATGTTCATAGTAGCATTATTTGTAATAGCCAGAACCTGGAAACAACTTAGATGCCCCTCAACCAAATGGTAAAGAAAATGTAGTACATTACACAGTGGAGTGGAAAATAAAAACAATGAAATCTTGAAATTGACAGGTAAATGGATGGAACTAGAAGAAACCATCCTGAGTGAGGTAACCTAATCAAAAAAAGACAAACATGGTATGTACTCAGTCATATATGGATATTAGACGTAGAGCAAAGGATAACCAGACTACAATCCACAACCCCAGAGAAGCTAGGAAACAAGTAGTGCCCTAAGAGAGACATACATGGTCCCACAAAGAGGGGTAAAGGGACAAGATCTCCTGAGCAAATTGGGAGCATGGGGAGAGGGGACAGGGAGGTAGGAGAAAGGGGAGGGGAGAAGGGGAGGGGGAGGAGAACATGAGGGATCAGGAAGGTCGAGTTGGGGGAAGAAGAGAGAAGGAGAGCAAGAAAAGAGATACCTTAATAGACGGAGCCATTATGAGTTTAATGAGAAATCTGGCACAGGGAAATCTCAAGGGATCCACAAGGATGACCCCGAGTAAGAATCTAAGCAATAGTGGGGAAACTACCTTAAATGCCCTTCTCCTATAATGAGATTGATGACTACCTTATATTCCATCCTGGAGCCTTCATCCAGCAGTTGATGGAAACAGAGTCAGACACCCAGAGCTGAACACTGAACTGAGCTCCTGGAACCTAGTTACAGAGAGGGAGGAGTGAGCAAAGGGTTCAAGATCTGGCTGGGGAAACCACAGAAACCTGAGCAAGTGGGAGCTCATGGACCCCAGTCTGACAGCTGAGGAACTAGCATAGGAAAAAAACAGGCCCCCTGAATGTGGTTGAAAGTTGGGGGGCCTGGGCAGTCTATGTGGCGTTTGGCATTGGAATCAGTATTTATCCCTAGTGCAGGAATGGGCTTTCCCTATGGAAGGATACTCTCTCAGCCTAGATACACAAGGGAGGGCCTAGGTCCTGTCCCAAATGATGTGATAGACTTTGATGATCCCCCATGGAAGGCTTCACCCTCATTGAGGAGTGGATGGGGATGGGATGGGGGTTGGTGGGGGCATGGGAGAACAGGAGGGAGAGGTAACTGGGATTGGTATGTGAAATAAGATAGTTTTTAATTTAAATAAAATTAATTAAAAACAAATGTAGAAGCTTAAGATAATGCATATCTATTATTTTATAGTTATGGAGGTTAGAAATTACTTTAAAAGGTGACGGTAATGCAAAGGTATTCTGAGGGTTCCTTTCCTGATAACATTTGCTATGGGACAATCTTCTTTGGTTTTCTGCATTCTGTGACTACTGTATTCCTTCCAGCCTTGAAGCTTTACCAATGGACATTCTGCTTTTCTTCCCCCTTGCTGCTTTCTTCAATCACAGAACGTTATGCCACACCTAAACACTGTTGCAGTTATACTGGGTAGCCAAATCCAGCATAATTGTGTGTTAATTCCATAATTAATAATCATAGTTCCAACTGCAACTTCAATTTTCCTTGGCCAAATAACACATATTCACATATCCTGGGTATGGACTGGGGGTTGTTCTCTTGCTAAACACTGGGTAGGTGCGTAAATGAATTTCTAAAGGGGCAAGGCCAACAACTTCAGTGTGTGCTTAATGTCACTGCTGTTTTTCCTACAGAACAAGTCCAGAAAAGAGGGGATGAAGAACAGAGGGATGGGGCAAAAGAAAAGATTCAAAATCAGCCAGGTGTGGGTCTTAAGGGAAAATATGCATGGAGGGTCCTTTTCCTGAGACAGACAGTGAATCTAGGCAGTTAGGTGTGGGTGAAATCCAAGCTAGTTAATTCCTCCTGCGTTAGAACACTATCAAATATGAGAGCTTGGCCATGACTGGAAGAGATTCCAGAGAACCATTGGCAAGGTAACTGAACAGACCCAAAATGAATTCCAACCCTAGGCCATGGAACAGCTGAGAGGCAGGACTCTCACAACCTGCAAATACTGACAGGGAAAGAGCAATTGTGGGGACAGAAAATAAACAACCCGAAGGTATTACTACTTAGAATGACAAAATTTCTCTCTGTGTATCCCTCTCTCTCTGTCTCTCTTTATCTGTGTCTCTCCCTCCCTTCCTCCCTCCTCCTTCCATCTATCCTTTTCCATTTCCCTCCTTCCTTCCCTCCCTGCCTGCCTCTGTCTCCCCTTTGGAATAGGGGTAGTGGTGGGGGATGTAATGGAAACCCCCACCTCAGGAGTGCCCTCCTCCTCTTCATGGTTGAAGGAACCAATGAAAGAAAACCTGGGAGAACCTACTGGCTGGCTGTTGCTAGGTCACCTGTCCCCTCTCAGGCTGCAGTATTAACAGCCCCCCTCCCCTTCCATTGGCGTCAGAAAAGGGAGGAAATTGGGAGGGGGAATAGAGAGGGAGTACTGGGATGAGTAGGCGCTGTCCAGCCTCGTTCTGAAGTGCAGATGTACCTAGGGGCCCACTCAGTATCCATCCGCTGTTCCCTCCTGCTCCCCAATTCCAGAATCTTCTTCCATATAGTCCCCCCTTCTCCCTGCCGTCCCCACTCCCCAAAGCCCTCATAGACCCTGACTCTCAGCCATCCCACACACTGTAGTGACCCCAGCAAAGCGGTGGTGGTCTGTGGTTAGGGTGAGCAGGGGGTCTGCAGACGCCCACGGGTGCCGCCCTTCCCTCCCTCCGAGTGGAGCGGGCTGTCTCCGGCCCCGCCCACCCCGAGTCGGAACTACGGTGGGCCCGGGAGGGGGCGTCGAGCCCGGTGCGCCATATCCCTCCGCCCCCTTCCCGACACCCTCGAGGCGAGCTGTGCCTGCCGCATCCTGCGCAGCAGCCCCTGCCCGTTTGGTGCAGAGGCGTGGGGGCGGGACGCGTCTCTGCCATCGCACTCGCGCGCAAAGCCCAGGGAGAGGAGCTGCGGAGGACGGAGCCCAGCCAGGAGCGGACGGGGACGCGGGGCAGCCCGGGGACCTGGGCCGTGCGCCTGGCCAGGCAAGTGGGGGTGTGTCGAGGGCTCGGGGCGGCCTCGCACTGCGGACCCTCGCCCGGCCCTGACAGGGAGTGCAGCAGTGGGGGCGACCGGGGCTTCCTGGAGTGGTGCGCGGTTCCCGGAGATCCCAGGCGGTGAGGGGCAAGCGGGGTCCCGGGTCGGGTCTAAGGCACAGGGGGCGGCTGGAGCCACTGGGTGTGAGAGTCTGGAGACTGGCAGAGCAGACAGCCTGACAGTTGGCTTCCCGGGCGCTGGTGCCCCGCCCTCCATGGTATCTGGACCCCAAAATGGTTACAGGGTAGGGGAATGTAGGAGAAATGTGGTAGTGTAAGGGGCATCCAGGGAGCCCACGGATCCAGGGGAGGCGGCTGCAGGAGAAATGGCGGTGCTGGAATGGTGGGGGGCAAGAGTCCTCCCGTGTGGTGCAGGGAGGGTGTCCAGCTCTGGGACAGCTCAGCTGGCGGGTGGTGAGTCGCCTGGGCTACTAGGGTTCTGATCTGTTTCCGGAGAGGGACCCTTGTACCCTGCGTCCTGGGTGCTGTCCCTTCCCACAGGCTCCTGCTTGATGGCAAAGTCTCCTGTCTGCGTGGTAGGTCTGGCATATTCTGACAGGCCACAGTGAGCATCTGTAAACCAGAGTCTTGAGGAAAGAGGAACAGGAAAATGGCGTGGATTTCTGGAGGTGTGTGACAGTGGGATTGGGCACCAGACACTGAGTGGAGATGCGAAAAGTGTGGGGGTGACAGATCAGAACAGGTGGGGCATCCATTAGTGTCTCCTAATCTCATTTTTCACAGCCTTGCAGGTACTTTCCCCAATGTCCTTCCACTCCCTCCCTCCCTCCCTCATTCCTTCCCTACGTCCCAAATTTGGGGTCTAAAAAGGTGGTTTGGGGATGATGACGGAGTCATAAATCCAAGGACCACTTCAGAACCTGCTTTCTAGAATGTGCTGTGCCCTTCCCCAATTTTTTGCTGCGCAAGGCAAGGAAACATGGCCACCTAGTGGTGAATCATCACAATTGCAGAAGGACTAATGAGTATGACATCAGGGAGGGGGTGTTACTTCAGGAACCCTGCAGCCAGGCAAAATAAATCTAGAACGTTCCAGCAGTAGGACCCTGAATGACGAAAGACACATGATCTGCTTCTTACCCTTGGTGGTGTTCTTCTCCACGAGATCAGCTGCTGCCATCATTTCCCGATTGTCTTGCATTTTCATCTCTTTGTCCACAGGCTTGCTTTAAGGCTGGTCAATTCTGAGAGAAAGGAAAGAAGGCATCGAGGATACTGTCTCAAGATCTGTGGAGGTTGGTGAGAGTCAGGGGCGGTGCAGGAGCCAGGTACTGAGGAAGGAAATGCACAGTGCTGTAACCCAAGAGGGGACATGATGTCTTTACTGTCCCCCAAATGTGCCTACAGCTGCTGCCATCATTTCCCAGTTGTCTTACATTTTCATCTCTTTGTCCACAGGCTTGCTTTAAGGCTGGTCAGTTCTGAGAGAAAGGAAAGAAGGCATCGAGGAGACTGTCTCAAGATCTGTGGAGGTTGGTGAGAGTCAGGGGCGGTGCAGGAGTCAGGTACTGAGGAAGGAAATGCACAGTGCTCTAACCCAAGAGGGGACACGATGTCTTTACTGTCCCTCAAATGTGCCTACAGCTGTTGCCATCATTTCCCAGTTGTCTTACATTTTCATATCTTTGTCCACAGGGTTGCTTTAAGGCTGGTCAGTTCTGAGAGAAAGGAAAGAAGGCATCGAGGAGACTGTTCCAAGATCTCTGGAGGTTGTCAAAAATCAGGGGCAGCACAGGAGCCAGGTACTGAGGAAGGAAATGCAGAGTGCTGTGACCCAAGAGGGTGCCTGATGTCTCTACTGCTACCTAAATACGCTCACTGCCACAAGATCATTTATTCCCTTTCAGAGAAGTAGATATGAGTTAGTCTGTGATCCATAGGACAAGGGCTGGGATTGGGGACAGAAACTTTAGACAGAAGACAGGCATGGTTTTGCTGTTGTTTGGACTCAGGGATGTGTGCCTATGTAGCAGGCACTACAGTCCCTTTTTTTTATGCATTTGTAGGACTCCCCGCCATCAGCTGTTGGTCTTAACATCACTTGAACGCATAAAAAGGAGGGAGTTGCACCACATCGGTGAAGGTTGGTATGGAGGGGTTTTCACTTTTGGATGGGGGTAGTAGAGATCACCCTTCAGGCAAAAGGAACATAGAGGTTTTCTCATAGCTGAGCTGTTCCACTCAGCTTTATCCACCCGTGTCTCTGTGTAGTTGCTACAGGAGGCAACAGAATTGTATGAGACTGATTTCCTCTTTTTTTAAATCTTCTTAGATCACCTGCAGTAGCTGCTTGGCAGTGCTGGGGTTGCTGCTGACCAGTGCAGTCAACAGATCTGCGCCCACCTAGGACCTGTCCATCTTCCTCCGGCTTGGCCTCGCCTCTTCTGAACTGCGTCTGTGTTATTGACTGAGATTGTGCTTGGGTAGGAATCTTATTGGTTCCAGACTGGTGGTTTATTCCTGGTACTCACTCTGTCTCTTGGGTCATCTAAAGAGCAGAGTGTGAAGACACAGCATTGTGACAGATCTCTTGTTGACACTGAGGCTTTGGTAGACATTCTTAATTGAGCCTTCTCTCTAATTTGTACCATGACTGGGGCAGACATTGAGACTGGTTCTCAGTCCAAGCCTGATAAGAAGCCTCAGGAAGAGGTTATGGGTGGGGCTGATAGGGAGAGTGAAGTCCCTCTGGTGGTCAGACCCAAAGTCAGACCCCAGGCTCCAGCAACAAGTGGAGCAAGGCCCAAAACTGAAACTAAATCTTCTCGGGCAAGGCCTAAAACTGAAACCCAGTCATTGTCTGGAACAAGACCTAAAAATGATGTGCAGGCAATGGCTGGAGCAAGGCCTAGATCTGAGGCCCAAGTAATGACTGGTGCCAGGCCCAAAACTGATGCCAGGGCAGTAGGTGGTGCTCGTCCTAAGACTGAGGCCAAGCCAATCCCAGGAGCAAGGCCTAATGATGAGGCTCAGGCATGGGCACAGAATGAGTTTGGGGCTGAGGCAATGCCACAGGCTGAGAGAGCACCCTTACCTAATGCTGTCACATGGCCACTGGTCAATTCTGAGTCTACATCTGTTCCTAAATCTAAGAGTCTGTCTATGAATAGAGCACTGGTCAATATGGACAATGAAACCTTTCCTGGGACCCAGGGCCAGGCTGGAATCCAGCCCTGGTTTGGACCAGGAGAGCAGACTAACATGGGTTCTTGGTGCTATCCCAGGCCCAGAGTCAGGGAGGAGACCTCTAATGAGTCTGGATTTTGGTCAGCAGATGAATCCTCTACAATGTCTTCTTTGTGGAGTGGAGAGGAGACCAGTATCAGATCATGGCCCAGGGAAGAGGCAAATACTAGGTCCAGGCACAGGGCTAAACATCAGACTAATGCCAGGTCCAGGCCCAGATCCAAACAAGAGCCCTATACTGATTCTTGGTCTGGCTCTGAGGATGAGGCAGGCAACCCATTCTGCTTTTGGCCTGGAGAAAATACCAATGAGGTGATTAGGCCCAGAGCCAGGGAAGAGGCAAATGTGAGACCTAAGACCAAGACAAAGAGAGAGGACTATTTTGAATCTGAATCTGAAGATGAGTTCTATAAAAAGTCCTGGTTTCTGCCTGGGGAAGAGTCTAATAGATTCAGGCGCAGAGATAAAGAAGAGTCTAATAGCATCTTGAAAAACAGAAACCAAAAAGATGTTAAAAACAGTGACAGGGTCAAACAAGAGTCCAGGTTTGATGAGGAAGTCATTATTGGGTCCTGGTTCTGGGCAGAACAAGAGACTAATTTTGAGGCTGAAATTGCAGCAATCTGTGAATCTGAACCAGGGGCCGAAGAGGGAGCCATTGGTGGGTCCTTGTTCTGGACCGAAGAAAAGCCCACTTTGGGAGCTGTGGCCAGAGATGAGATCAGGCCTGAGTCAGAGGAAGAGGCCCTGTTTGGGTCCTGGTTCTGGGATAGAGATGAGGCCTGCTTTGACCTAAATCCCAGACCTGTGTACAAGGCTAAGAGCAGGCTCAGAGATTCTGCTGAGGAAGAGCTTAATGTATCATCCAGGCCCAAAACCTGGGATGAGGTTACTGTTGACTTCAACCCTGGGCCTTGCCATGGCTTTGGCTTCCCTTCGACAAACCCCTTTAGAGTCCCTGAAGGGGACTCTGAAAATGCTGAGGCAAAAGACAAGAACGTGGAACTTGGTGCAGAGGGGGAAGAGCAGGAAGCTGTGCTCCAGCCTGCTCTGCACGAGCCCGAGTTCCCATTTCAGTATGATCCCTCTTACCGATCAGTCCAGGAAATTCGACAGCATCTTAAGGCCAGGGAGAGTGCAGACCCTGAGAATTGGTCTTGCAGCTGCATACAATGTGAGCTTAAAATAGGCTCTGCAGAGTTTGAAGAGCTCCTTCTGCTAATGGACAAAATTCGTGATCCTTTTATCCATGAGATATCTAAAATTGCAATGGGTATGAGAACTGCTTCTCAGTTTACCCGAGATTTCATTCGCGATTCTGGTGTTGTCTCACTTATTGAAACTCTGATGAATTATCCTTCCTCTCGAGTTAGAACTAATTTTTTGGAAAATATGATTCACATGGCTCCACCTTATCCAAATCTAAACATGATTGAGACATTTATATGCCAAGTGTGTGAGGAAACCCTTGCACATGCTGTCAATTCGCTTGAACAACTTACTGGAATAAGGATGCTTAGACACCTTACTATAACTACCGATTATCACACACTGATTGCCAATTATGTGTCCGGCTTTCTTACCTTATTAACCACAGGCAATGCAAGAACAAAGTTTCATGTTCTGAAAATGCTGTTGAACTTGTCTGAGAATCCTATGGTGGCAAAAAAGCTATTCAGTGCCAAAGCTCTGTCAATATTTGTGGGTCTCTTTAACATAGAGGAGACAAATGATAACATTCAGATTGTTATTAAAATGTTTCAGAATATCAGTAACATTGTGAAAAGTGGAGCAATGTCTTTAGTTGATGAAGATTTCTGTCTTGAGCCACTTGTCTCTGCATTCCATGAGTTTGAAGAGCTAGCTAAGCGACTGCAAATCCAAATAGACAATCAAAATGATTCTGAGGAGGATGAGTAAAGTCCGTGTGATTAACCACCTTCCACTGATCAGCCTTATGTTCCCAAAGAGCCCCAAATAGTGCTTTGGTGTTCACAGTTTGGTTGTGTTGTAACTTATATTTTAATGCTAATGTTAACTTGTCAAACTCTTATTGTGAGCTGGATCATTTGTGGATGCCAAAATGAATATCAGAAGTGATACTTGTCTTACTGTCCAGCTTGTGATACCTTTTAGTGTTGAGCTCCCAGTGAACCAAGTCATATGAGTAAGCTATCCTGCTATTTGTTGTTTAAACATGTGGTTCTCTACTTGAGTCTGTGTTTTCAATAAAGTTCGATGTTGAAATTGGCATAAATGACCCTTCTTCACTTTAAAAACCAGATCCAGATACATTATATACATTCAAAAATAGATGATTGGTATTAGAACAAACACATGCTTACTAGAAAATCCTATTTTAGGAAGGAAGATTCCTGTGGGCTTTAGTACTCAAGAAATACCTGAAAGAAGTGGGACTTAGTCACCGAGCAGGAAGCATGCTTGGAAATGAGCCACGGTGATGTGAAGAGAAGTGTGCAGTGGGAAAGTAAGCCCCACTAACAGGGGTGAGATAAGCAGGGTGAGCTTACAGAGTGATGCACTTGGAAAAGTAGGGTAAGTCTTGAGGAACTGCCAAATCCAAACGGCAGTTAATCATTCAAAGTATAGATTTTTGCTTCAATACAACCTAGATGGCAAATGAAAAAGACTCTAATTCAGTGGTTCTCAATTTGTGGGTTTGACAAACCTCTTTAGCCAAACAATATTTGCAGTTTGTAACAGTAGCAAAATACAGTTATGAAGTAGCAACATAAATAACTTTTTGGTTGGGGGTTCCCATAACACGAGGAACTGTATTAAAGGGTCACAGCATTAGGAAGGTTGAGAGCCAGTGTGTCTTATTAAATAGTCTCAGAAGTAATATTTCCTGCATGATGATAGACCAATAAAAGTATTAATCATTGAAGTACCTACATATGGATTAATTTATTGACATGAAGCATTAGTAATTTTACATATAGTAAACTAGAGAAGAATTTGGGATCATATTTGTAAAAGTAGGTGTTACTTTAAAATTTGTGTATAAATAAAATGTCTGAGCTCATTGCAACCAAAGCAACTTATAGTATAGCCCTTATCTGTATTAAAACGTAAAAAGTTAAAATTTTAGATATGTGCATTAAAGAAATACAAAATTTAGCAAAACACACAAAAGTTGATATATTCCCATCTAGTGACTTTAGTTATAGGTGGGCATGCTGGGAAAAGGGTATGTTTGTATAAATGATTAACCTAAAGTGTTTAAAAGTTCAGAGATAAAGTGATTTAGAAAAGTTATAAATGAATCAGACTTCAGAGCCAAGATTACTGTTTGAATTAGGCTTGTGGTACAAAAAAATGAAATTTGTTTTTGTTACAATGAATCATGTATTTGTTACCGTCAAACAGTCAATAACATTTCCTTTTTAGATGGCAACAAAGTTCTACAACTAGACAGTGGTGATACGGTTGCAACAACCTTGGGAATTTTGTAACTGAATTGCACAGTTTAAATTGATTAAAATGATAAGTTTGGTGTTCTGTGTATTTTGCCACAACAAAGATGCCACAGACTGCAAGAAACCTTCATACAGGAGTATTTCACAAGTCAGGAATGAACTTGGTTTGGAGATAGAGTACAACTTGTGGGAAATAGAAAATGTTTCATTATTTTAGACATAAAAACATTTATTTTCTTTTGTCTGAGAATGCTATATATTTTCAAAAAGATAAAATGGGAGCACAGTGCAAGAATTTTACCTACCAATGAACAACTGCTACGTCCAAGAAACAGTCAAAGGGGATATGTATGTATGTATGTCATATACACAGGATAAATATATAAATAATATATATCGGACTTCATACGCACAAGGAATCAAATGATAGGATAATATCACGGAATTATATAAAAGCTGATTACCATCTTACATGCAATAGCCTGGAACATTTAATGTTATCTATACAATTGAACAAATCTTTCAATATATAGTAAGTATAGTATCTACAAGTTAGTATAAGCAAGGATAAAAAGTACCTCAACCAATAGACTATGGAATCCCATGTGTGACTAAAATGGTATATAGTAACTTGTATTGATTTTGCCCAAACATTGTAGAATGTACCTGGCAGTGAAACATTTTCCCACTTGATGTTAGTTTATGAAATTTAGGATTAGGACAAAGTGATAATTTAGTCTCCCTTTAAAAACCACAAACCATAACAGGAATAATTATCATGGTAGGAACTACAAATTAAACGCTTGCTTTATTGATACATTTCGAGATTTCTGTGTTTTCATATGTTTAAACATTATACAAATTACCATTAAAGAATCATTGCGTGACCTGAGTGTCAAGGGAAGCTTTTCATTTTTTTTTTTTAGGCCAAGCACTCTTAGAGGGCAAGCCCCTAGATTTCAGGCTGAAAGCTTTGACTACTAATCTAGCTCCCTTCCAATTGTGTCTTCAGGGTAAGAAGGTTCAGGTTCCTCTGGACAGGAACTCAGCTCCAGAGGCAGAATATTCTGTTCCAGTGCTTCAGAGCTACTACAGATGTTTTGCCGCCTTGCTGGTCTGATAGGGAGTTGTATGACGAGGCTTTTCCTTGGACACAGAGAGCTATGCTTACTGTAATGGAGACAAAAAGAGAGCCATATAGCTGGCAGTTGGGGTAGGTAGAACAAGGGGGCGAGGGTTAAGGTGGTTGAGCTAATGTCCATGCTGTGTTAGCTTGAAAACCATTTTTTATGTGTACAGAATAGTAGTGTTGATTGGATGGGAGAAATCATCCCTCAGTCAATCTAAGGTATGTTTGCCAGGTCAGGAGCTCAAGGAGCAAGTACCAGCCACCCTGTAGGATGGATTCCTGTGGAGAAACAACAGTTGCTAATGAAGTGTGTTGGAGATGAGAAATGGCATCCTTTGGGTGGCAGTGGTTCAGACTAGATGATAGTGCTTGAAATGCCTCAGAAGCCCTCACTCCTTCCTAACTTCTGAATTCCATCTCTAGACTCCTACCCCATGCTGTGTTTGTTCTCCTCCCTCGCTCTCTCCCTCCCTCCCTCCCTCCCTCCCTCCCTCCCTCCCTCCCTCCCTCCCTCCCTCCCTTCCTCTTCCTACTCTGCATGTGTGTGAGGGTGGTGATGTTATAGGTAGAATTGGCTTTAGGAACCCAGAGAGGGGGAACAATGAAGTAAAAAGAGGCCACTCTGTTTCCCATTATGTAGCCTCTTATTCTCTACTTTCTGTCTGATTTCCTTAATGGGAGTATCCAGCCACTGGAGATGTCCCAGGACAGCTAAAACTTGAGAAGAAAAGAGTGAACATGACACCTGCCTTTTCCTCCAGGGTTCCAGCTGGCCAGGGAAAGACTAGCGAAATTAGTGTCACCCAGGGAAATTAGGGATGAAGATAGGAGACATAAAGTGAAAGGGAGAGCATCTAAGTTCTTTTTGCTTTTTGCATTGAATTTCTCATTGGGATTCTCTAATCCTAACCTCTGAAAGGTTATGTCCTGGTCCCAGCTAAGTCCTAAGTCCTAGGCAGCAGCTCCTTCCTGTTTAGAAATATATGTTGCTGACTCTTGTGAGACTTCCTTTTTTCTAATGTCCTGCATCTGAGATACTTGTCTTTTGGGTCCTATAGAAATTACTTCATAAAAACGCATAGTTTTTATTCTTCACACTATTTTCTATCTTCCTTGTATTTTGCTCCTTTGCTTCCATCCTAGATAGCAGTCAGTCGGCACCTTCCTGTCTTTTCTGAGTAGTTCCCCATATCCTCTGAATACCAAGTAAATGAAAACAGTCTCTCAGCTTACATGACAATAAATGTGTATGTGCTTTTTAAAAAAAAAAGTAGTTTTCCTAGTTCTCTGAAAACACCATGTACATGGCCTACAATTTAACTGGATATGTCACTAGCCAAAGCTAGTAAAGACTCCATAGTTTAAGGGCTCGGTGTCACAAGACTGCCTCCAGTGTCAGATGATAAGCAAACATGGTGAATCTTTGTGTTACTCACACTTCTCTCTGCCTTGGCTACTAATCACAGGTTTCTACAACCATTTTCTTGTTCAGGAATTTGTTACAAATATTCAGAAGAAGCCATGGAAACCCTTTAATGTTACTAGTTTATAATAAAAAATTCTGAAGTCCTTGAGTGACAAGGTAGATGAGGTGGTACTTGGGACAATGTCTAAAAGAGTACAAGATATAGGAGGTGCTGCCCCCAAGGAGATGCAGTGCCCTACCATTTGAGTACATGAATACATTCACCCATCAGCAAACTTTCCAGTTTCTATTAATTAAGATAATAAAAGAAGTTCAGTTATATAGACTTGATTAATTTAACTGACCACTGGTGATTAACTCAATCTCCAATTCCCATTGCTGTCCCTGAAAGTTAGGGGGATATGGCTCAAAGTTCCTGCTATCTAAGCATGTCTTATTTTTTATTTGTTTTGGTTTTATTTATTTATTTTTTGCTTATGACCAGCCAGCCCTGTCTCAATACTACCTAGGAAACTTAGTCACCATCATCTCATCAGCATGCAAGTTTGAATACTCTAGAGATTCTAAGATTCTGTTACTCTCAGAATCTCATGTATTATGGAGCAAGGAACAAAGACCAAATGTTAAAACATGCTCATATTGTATCTGTTACCGATAAAAATCTAAGACTTTATGAGTTCTGTGCAGAAGGTGAGAATGAAGATCCCTGCTTTTTTTGGTTTTTTTGACAGATATAGTTGTCTGTGTTTATAGGGTACACTGGGATAATTCAGTATATGTATATAATGTGTGATGGTGAAATCAGAATAATTAATCCTATCTCCTCAAGCATTTGTTGTTATTCTCTACCTTCTGTTCAGTAGAATTCTTGTGATATTAATGTTGTGGTTTTCCTCTCAAGACCTGTTTTCTCTTGTCTATGTCAGTGTGTTCCTTTTAGAGAAGATTGGAAGCATCATGTGGCATAGTAAAGACTATCTGCTCTCCATCCCTGGTTCTTGGTGCAGAGCTTAAAGCCTTGCAATTTCCTGACATATAAGAGTAATAAGATGCCTTTGTTGTACTGTAGGATGTGGGCGGTTACCAGAAGGAAAGGTCCTATTATTAGAAGTTTAGAATTCGGAGCTACCTCAAGGTCAAAAGAGAAAAGTGGGGTTAAGTATTGAGTTCAATCACAGTAATACTCAATCGTGCTCATATAATGAATCCTTCCCAAAATACATAACTTTAGAATGTTAGAGAGTTTGCTTATTGTA